TAAAAGATAATGAAACCCTATCTCACCAAAACAAGCTGGGCATGGTAGCATGCCTGTCATAGCAGCTAGGCAAGTGGTAGTAAGATGGATTATCCAAGTCAGGGGCCAGTCCCTGCAAAAGTTTAAGTCTCTACTTAAAGAGAAGTGAAAGGGTCTGGGAGAATGGCTCAAATGATGATAGAGAGAGTACCTGCCTAGGAAGTACAAGGCCCAGAGTTCAAATTCCAGTGCTGTGCCTCTTATCCCCAGTTAAAGGTCTAGGATATGGCTCAAGTGGTAGAGCATTTATCCCAGTTTCAAACTCTGGTAATAGCATCAAGTTTACCAAAAAAGAAAAAAAAAAAGAAAGCTGAAGAAAGCTGCCAAGCACTGGTGGCTCATGCCTATAATCCTATTCAGGAGACTAACATCTGAGGATGAAGGTCCACAACTTCAAAGACATACTGGGCAGAAAAGTGTGTGGGACTCATCTCCAGTTAACCATCAAAAAGCTCGAAGTAAGATGTGGCTCAAATAAAATATGAGCCTTAAGCAGTAAAAGTGCAGTCTCTTTTGAGTTCAAGCCCCAGGACACCACGCACGCACGCACGCACGCACACACACACACACACACACACTTACTTGTAGCTTAGAAAAGATGTCAAAACTGGAACCCAAGAGAAATGGTCAGAGAGATCTGTGAGACATAATTTGAAGCCAGTCTGAGCACAAAAGTCAGTGAGACTCTTTATTATTAAACAGCAGAAAGCTGGAAGTGGAGATGTGTAGAGTACCAACTTTGAGCACAGAAGAGGGATATCATAGATGTATAAGAAGTAGTAAAAAAGAAGTGTGAGACAAGTACTGCTCACACAGAACACACAATCAGAGGTGACAGTGTTGAATGAGGGCTAAGAAAGTGTTTAGTATAATGGGAAGAAAGTGGTGGGCATATTTTCAATTAGTTTTAATTTTTTTTCCAGTGCTAGGGATTGATCCAAAAGCTTTATGTAACGAGGCAAGCATTCTACCATTAAATTAACCCTCAGTCCCTAATTTTTTTTTATTAAATATTGTGGGGATATGAGCATTTAAATGGAAAAGGAAATAATAGGAAAAAATAGAATCAAAATTCATACATACATACATACATACATACTCATTCAAATACATACAAGGGCCTGGAGCTTGACAAGTAGGCATTGTACCACTTGAGCCGCTTAACTCCTATTCCAAGAACCAAAATAACTTTAAAGGTGCAAGATTCTAGAAAAGATGGAATCATGGCTTTGGCTAGAGAGATTGCTTATCCTTGGGCTAGAAATGAAGTTGACAAACTTTTTCTGTAACTAAAGAGAATGAGATAGATAAAGTTACAAGTAGATTTATAGGTAAAAGGAGGATATTCATAGGGGAGGAATAAAAGGTATAATTCCTGTGTATCTGATTACATAAAATAATTATTATTGAAATGAACTCCAGGAAATAGAAAAACCAAAAATGTTAAGGAGCCCATACTTGAGCCTTTTTCTTTTTTAAGTCCCAATATTGGGGCTTGAACTCAGGGTCTGGGCACTGTTCCTTAGCTTTGTTTTTGTTTTTGTTTTGCTCAGAGCTAGTGCTCTACTACTTGAGTCACAGCTCTACTTCCAGTTTTTTGGTGGTTAATTGAAAACCAGAGTCTCAAAGACTTTCCTGTCCAATGTGGCTTCAAGCCACAATCCTCAGATTTCTGCCTGAGTAGCTAAGATTATATGTGTGAGCCACCAGTGCCTAACAACTTTTCTTTTTCAATGAATGTCATTTCCTTATATTTGTCTCAATAAAAGTTAACTTTTTTGTTGATGTTGTGGGGCTTGAGCTCTGGACCTGGGCACTGTCCCTGAGCTCAGAGCAAAGCTAGCACTCTACCACCTACTTGAGCCACTGCACTACTTTCAGTTTTCTGAGTGGTTTATTGGAGATAAGAGTCTCACGGGCTTTCCTGCCCAGGCTGGCTTTGAACTGTGATCATCAGATCCCAGCCTCCTGAGTAGCTAGGGTTATAGGCATGAGCCACTGGTGCCCAGTAAAGTTTGGGTAAAGTGGATAAGGTGTCCATAATCTTTATTCTGAATAAGGTGTATTTAAAGTAAAATTTTGTTGTTTCAAGGTGTGAAAGGGTAGGGGGTGGATTCTGACACTTAGGAGAATGCCTGAAGTTTATATTGACAGTTAACTAGAATAGATGAGGATGCTGACAAAAGACAAAAGGATTAACCTGCAATATTCATGACTTAACTGAGAGAACTAACCATTTGGAACAGCACTAAATGATATGATAGTATGATTTACTTCTTCAGGTTGTGTTCAATTCCTTATTTAGAGCAGAAAAGGCAAATTCTCTACTGATCTGGAATTAGGAACTTAACAATTCCATCTATCAAAAAATCAAGTGGTTTCAAGATGCATTGTAGTACTTTGTTGAATGGTAATTCCTTTGTAAAACTATGTATAGATAATCTTATAAAAGTAAATAACCAACACTTGGAAGTATGGCTCAATTGGTAAAGTGCCAGCCAAAGAGGGAAAGCATTATGTACCAAGTTCTAGCCCAAGTGTCCAACCTTAAAAATACACAAAGAAAAAAATCACAAGTAGGACTGGCATGGCTCATGTAGTAAAGCCTACCTAGCTAAGTGCAAAGTTCCACATACTGTAAAAATGAATTAATTAATTACTTACTTGAACCAGGCATGTAGCAAATGCCTGTAATACCAGCACTTGGGAGGTGGAGGCAGGAAGATTTAGCTCTAGACTACATAGTAATAAGACCTTGTCTATAAAAGAAGAAAAAGTAATTAACTTGGTGTCTAGTGTAAATGAGATGAAACATGCTGGTAATACTTAGGTCTAGCCTAATTACTATCACGATATATCTGTCGCCATTATAACTTTCATTCTCACTGTATGCTTTGAGATTTGGATCATCTCAAGCCCTCAGAATAAGGATGTCAAGAAATTTGAGAAGCTGTGGCCCTCTACAAAAATATAATTTGGCTTTTCATTCCCCAAGCAGTAGCAAATGTATAAATTTGATTAAAATAGGCTATATGAATCTAGATGAATATAATTAATGGCAATTAATAAGTGACTTTTAAGCCACATCCCAACATTTGCAGCTTCTTAAAATATTCCATGATACCACTGTCAAAGAGAATACTAAGACTAGGGATGTAGCTCACTAATAGAGTACTTTCTTAGCATTCACAAGCCCTGGGTTCAATTCTCAGCATTGGGGGTGGGTGGGAGGAGGGAATACAGAACAGAGGGAACTGTAGTTGTGATCCCTTTAAAAAAAAGGAAGCTTTTCAGACCAGCTTTATTGGCATCATATGTAGATTTGATGGAAATGAAGTTCCAGACACTAGTAGATCACACCTGTAATACTCAACTTGGGAAGCTAAAAGTGGAAAGATTATGATTCAAGGCCAGTATAAGCAAAAAATAGGATTACAAGCAGTGTTCATGATAGTCAAGTGAGGTGCCCAATAGATGAATAAAGAAGATATGGTACAGATATTCCATGGAATATTAAATAGTAAAGAAAAATAAAATATGTCATTTTCAGAAAAATGGATAGAATTGAAGAACATTATATTCAGTAGGATAAACTAAGCTAAAAAAGCCAAGTAGATACTTTTACTCATGTGGAAGCTACACTTAAAAGATAATGCATATTAATGAACATGTACATACATGTATATACCTGTCTACAAAAACATACACGTATACCCAGAACAGGATTCTAACTGTGGGACTGTGTAAGAAGATGAGAGTAATGTGGGAAAGGAAAAAGAAAGATGGGTAGAAATTTTTAAATACAGTGGAAGTGTATGAAGAAAGCATAAGGAACTTTTATGAAAGCTGTTGATCAGAAGAAGATTGGGGTGGCAGTGGTAGAAGAGAAACTAATAGGGTCATTCTAAGTAAAACTAAAGACATGAATGACTAAAGTACTATAGTGAAACTCCTTGGTGTAATTAAAAAAAAAAAATATCAAGAAAGTAAAACAGGCTCATAAGAGGGTAGGCACCAGGAGGAAGAACACCTAACAAAGAGGGTGAATATAATGGACATAGCTTAGTTACATGTATGAAAATCGAGCAATGAAACCTGTTAAAATTGTTTTAATGAGGGAGTTGGGGGAGAGTGGCAAAGTTGGAGAGGATGATCTGGATACTACTTTGTATACAAGCGCATAAATTTCACAATGTAACCCCTGCACAACTAACACATACTAATAAAAAAATGTGTGGCTTAAGTGGTAGGTTACCAGTCTAATAAACTCAAGGCCCTAAGTTCAAACCTCAGTACTGCCTCCACAAAAGAGAAAAATTCGGGTTCAGAGCTGGAAGTATTAGAGCCCTGGATCTAGTTCCCAGCACTGGGGAGGATAAAAACAGATTCATGTGACCTAAAGAGTCAGCACCTCTGAGAAACTTTCTCTTCAGTACAAGGGTTTGACTTAAATCCTCATGCTTGTTAGGCAGATGTGAGGCATACCTCTAACACTTTTTGCTGTTCAAATACACTCTTGCCGTAACTCATACAGAAAAATAAACAGTAGTGTTTTTGATTAGTTAAATTAAAAAATGCATGAGGCCCTGGGTTCGATTCCTCAGTACCACATAAGCAAAAAGAAAAAAAAGCCAGAAGTGGCGCTGTGGCTCAAGTGGTAGAGCACTAGCCTTGAGCTGAAGAGCTGAGGGACAGCGCCCAGGCCCAGAGTTCAGGCCCCACACCGGAACAAAAAAAAAAAAAAAAAAAATGCATGAATAGTTTTCAAAAATAGCCTGAAGTTAACTTTAGTAGTCAAAGACACTTCATTGGTAAGAACGATCTTTAACAATGGAAATAAGAGATCAGAGATTAAAAATTCATTTTGTGATGCTTTTAGCTCCTTAATTGGCACTTAACTCTCAGGTATAGTTTGGAGGGTACTGCTGTTACTTATAAAAATAATTATTTTTGTTTTACAGTGGGCAAATCAAACTTGCAGACTTTGGACTTGCACGGCTCTATAATTCTGAAGAGAGGTAAGGCATTATCAGACTTACCTATGGAAAGGAGGATCACTTGAATCCAAGGATTCTAAGCCAGTATGGGCAACATAGCAAGACTCCATCTCAAAAAATAAAAGCCGAGACCCGGATGCCGGTGGCTCACGCCTATAATCCTAGCTACACAGGAGGCTGAGCTCTGAGGATCGCAGTTCAAAGCCAGCCCAGGCAGGAAAGTCCATGAGACTCTTATCGGAAGTGGCGCTGTGGCTCAAGAGCTCAAGGACATCGGCCAAGCCCAGAGTTCAAACCCCATGACTGACCAAAAAATAAAAAATAAATAAATAAAGCCACTAGTGGTAGAGTGCTTGCCTAGCCTTCATGAAGTGCTGGGTTTGATTCCTCTGTACCATATAAATAGAAAGAGTTGGAAATGGTGCTGTGGCTCAAGTGGGAGAGTGCTAGCCTTGAGCAAAAAAGAGGCCTAGGGACAGTGCTCAGGCCCTGAATTCAAGCCCCAGGACTAGGGAAAAAAACAAAAACAAGTGCCAGTGTCTCATGCCTATAATCCTAGCTACTCAGGTGACTGAGATCTTAGAATAGCTCTTTGAAGCCAGCCTGGGCAGGCTGTTAGTAAGACTCTTTATTTCCAAGTAACTACCAAAAAGCCAGATGTGGAGCTGTGGCTATCCTTGCAAAAAAGTTCAGGGACAATGCCCATGCCCTGAGTTCAAAACCCAGAACTACTGGCACAAGTAAATAAAGAAAGAAAAAAGATCACAAAGGAAATAGTAAATAATCTTTTTTTATTCTCAATTATTCTGCAATTGAAATTACTGTTTGCTAATTAATAACTTTCCTAATTATCTAATAAGAGTTTGCTAATTATCTGAAAGTGGGTTTTGTTTTTGCCAATATTGGGGCTTACAGATTTGTCTGTCTGGGCTGGCTTTGAACCTCAATCCTCACATTGGTGCTAGCTTATCTAAACTCTTAAACCAGTCCTTGGCTGTAATACTTTGTCAGTGCACATTGGAATAGAAGTTATTTCTTTATCTGTGACTTTGTCTTTTGCTGTGATTAAGCTGTATACTTGGCATCTATTTCTAGTTGCATTTAATTGTATATTTTTTCATGAAAAGCCATTGTTAATCTGTGTCTTGATGGTTTTATGTTTCAGTCGCCCTTACACAAATAAAGTCATTACTCTCTGGTACCGGCCTCCAGAGCTACTACTGGGAGAGGAACGTTATACACCAGCCATAGATGTTTGGAGCTGCGGGTAAGGCTCTTAACCTTTTTTTTGTCCATATATTACAGTTTAACATGTACGATTTTTACCTTGACTGTTTACAGTTCTTTTTGAAAGATCAAAAGAAAAGATAAACCAATTCTGTTGGGTATTTACTTTTCTTTTTTCTTTTTTTTTTTTTTGTTGGTTGTGGGACTTGAACTCTGGGCTTGGGCAATGTCCTTGCGCTCTTCAGCTCAAGGTGAGCGCTCTACCACTTGAGCCACATTGCCACTTCCAGTTTTCTAGTGGTTTATTGGAGATAAGAGTCTCACAGACTTTTCATGCCCGGGCTGGCTTTGAACCGAGATTCTCAGATCTTAGCCTCCTGAATAGCTAGGGTTACAGGCGTGAGCCACCGGCGCCCGCCGGGCTCTCTTGGGTATTTCTTTTTTTTGGGGGTCCGGTCGTGGGGCCTGAACTCTGGGCCTGGGCGCTGTCCCTCAGCTCTTCAGCTCAAGGCTAGTGCTCTACCACTTGAGCCACAGCGCCACTTC